CGAGCCCCGCCAGCGGCCGCGCAGTGATTAGTATTGTAGGCAGAAGAACGTTGTCGACAAAGAGAGACTTGAATGGCCACTTCTTATTTATTAGCCGTCCTCAGTCAGCCATACCCAACCCAGCTGGTGCACCAGTCGAGAATAGAACGCGCGACCGGTTAATTAGAAGTTCAACGCTCTAACCATTAGGCCACGGGCAGGTTTTTTGTCAATATAGATCAGTAATATTGGTAATGGCGGATGAATGATCACCGATCGGTTACGGGACTCACTTCGAATTGCCAAACTGTATTTTGTAGTTAATGGCTGATTATTTGTTGACGAAAAAGAGCACGTTACTTGACTGCCTTGTCCCTCAAGTATTTTCGTAAGTCAACGTCTGATACTCTCGGAAAAAGTTAGCATGGACTTCCAGTTGAAGTCGGTTTTTACTGTAATACTTGTGTGAGTTTTCGGGTCTCTTTTCCACCTTCGGAATCTCCATAGATTTTAAGTCCTGGTCTATCCAGCCCCGTAGCACTATCGAGGTCTCAATTTCATATAACAGATCAAACTTTAATGTTAACCCTCATGGTTATTGATATTAGCCGAATTACGAAATACACCATGATCATCGACATAATATTTCGATCTACTCACTGATGATCCAAAAGATGTCAAGAAATGACCTAAAAACTTGCTGTTCGATATGAAATTGGCATTGCTAGCAACACTGTTAGTTTTCGGGGCATAATATTAGACTACATTTACCGTAAACAACGGTTTGTTTAGCAGAACATCGCTATGTTTAACCTGTGAGATGTCGCTCATTTTTATCCTTACTCCTTAAGGGACCAGTTGGCAGCGCCCATTGCTAGTTCCATCCAGCTGTCAGTTATTGACTTGAGGCCTGACATCTGGCCAAGTTTCTCCCCCCCACCCATCTTAGAGTCTCGTTCTCTGTTGTTTCCCTAGCCTTTCATTTCCTTTTTAGTGGCTACTTCAGCAATCTCTATTTTCCCTATATCGTCCAATACGCCTACCGGTCTCCGCTGGTCGCCGTCCAGTTCGTCAACATTACCCGGCACAGTCTCTTCATGATATCCTGCTCTCTCCTCAATGTGCGACATACGGCTGGACCGGTCAAATTCGAACTTTTAGTGGACTGAGCGCCCTCCGGCCCCACCTCCCGCATTTCTTCTCTCATGACCCAGTCTTGTTGCCTCGGCAATAAAATACAGCGCCTACGTCCACAGCTCGCCACATCTCAAAAACAATAAACGGAAAAGGTTGTGGGAGGAGCCTCCGTCCCCCCAATCAAAATGGACAGCAGTTTTGCACATCTAGATACCCCACTAACGGATCTCATGTACAGCATGCTTTTTGCCAACGGGCTGATGCATGACAGTTTCGGTATCCTAACTCTTGGCTTTTGACTCCATACAGTAGGCATGTCTCGAGAGGTAATTGGACTTTCGAACGATGTATGTAAGTCCGTCCCTTAAATTATGCCCCGTTCGGTCGTCACACCTTCCTTTTAAGTCCGCTCACACTGTACCTGCAACCCATAATACTTATTTGGCAGTAAAGTGCCCATCTTTTTTCTTACATCCTCTTTTGTAAAAGTTTGTTTTATTGCAAGATTAAGATGCTTACGACGGCTGTCAACTGCTTTTCTCTTTTCTTAGTGGTGGTTATGGTGGGGAGGTTATATGTAAACATACAGACAACTCGTTTACTTACTACAGACAGAAACTTGGGACAGCCGTCTAAGGACCCGTAACCAACAGGATACACCCGGTTCACTTTGGTTGAGTTCGTAGTTCCGAATGGCGCTAAGTCCTTCCGTGTCGCGGCACCCTCGGTAAAATTTTGAAAGGTATGTCTGGCGGTGTTTTGCGATAGTTGACAACACAGTAAGGCGAAATGCTACCATAACAGCTCACATAGTGGGTGTATCTTGATGACGGTGCGTTGAAAGGCGGGGCTTCGAAGATTGCCAATTGATGATTCATTTCACACCTCGCGAGCAGCCTAGTGTGTGATTGTGTGGAGTGGTCGGCTGGTGGACTGAGAGTCGAGTTGCAAGGGCTTCTTTTTCTTAGCGTGACCTCGACGGCACAACATGTGAAAACCGAGCCCAGACCGGCTGTATGGCTCTGTCCGTCAC